GGGGGGGGGGGGGGGGGGGGGGGGGGGGGGGGGGGGCACTGATTGGTGGGCTTGATGGATAGAGCTTAATCAGAGCTAAAGAACAAAAGAAATCTGAAGCTTCTATGTTGAACAGTTTCTAAGTTATAAGTACTTTTTGATGTCCTGACACCCCCTCTTTGAAAGGAGCCCCCTCCTCAAATATGGGATCTATCATAAAACTGTTGGCTGGTGCAGTGTAGGTCAGACTCATCTACAGTCCTGACTAATTTCATGTTGATTGGTGCAGCTGTTTTTGGGCTATGGTTGACCAAAAATCACTGAAAAAAATAATAAACAGCAGGAAAATAATATGACTCCTGCTTAYGCTTCGCGTGCGGGGGTCATTATAAGAAAAAACACTAATACAACAGTCAAATGATCATTTTACTGATATGTATAAAGACTGTGCAAAGGCTGAAAAATCCTGAAGTCCATATGAAATTAGTATGAGAGATTAATTTTTATGCTTTTTAAGCAAAAATAAAGGGGGGGGGGTCGTCTTATACATGAGATGTTATTATACAAGAATAAATACGGTAATTTGTAATGCCTTACAACAAACAACACAACATGAACAGAAACAAAGCACAAACTGAACATTTGAACAGATAAAATGAGAATCTGATGTGTTGCAGGAAATGTTTGAACGTTGATAATCAGCAGGGAGGATCAGATGAATCTCACAGCAATCACAGCGACTACAGTTTGTAAAAGTCTCATAGATCCTCGTTGCTCATAACGGCTCCACCCAGCCCCACAAAAACCCCCTTCCTGGCCCCACCTYGACAGTTTCCTAATGACTAATTCAGAGTTGTAACCACAGAATGAAAATGGACCAGTCAGCTCCTGGCTTGTTGGTTTGCTTTATTTGTTTGGCTTTGGTAATTASCTGATAAATCAATGTTGCAGCCATTATGAGATGGGACACCTGCTCACTTTCTGTGCTTGTGTGTAAATCATGAGCTGATTGGAAACGCTGGCAGCTTTCTGACAGTGAGCCATTCCTKGTTTACACCAGCAAACCTTTGCCCCCGGGTGGAGTGTCGGGACGCATGACCTCACACTCCTGCGGTGCATTATTCCACACAAKCCCTGATCGATATGTAATAATGATGCCTCTAATCAGCAGCTGGAGAAGACTGTGGGACATTATGTCCCTTTACACCTGCTGCCAWTGATCGGGCTCTGTTTGTCTGACAGTGATTATGGATACGAGCGGCGTAGTGACGGAAACTGTCGCCCGGCCTTCTGGTTCAATCCTTCCACCGTGTCCAGAAGCTGCAGCCAGGGTCAGAACTACTTCAACAGCACCGGGTAAGACCCCCACCATTCACCAGCTCTGCAAATTTATTTATTTCCATTTATCCATCATCAAGGTTCAGACCACTGCCTCATGGGTTCCTGGTTCTTCTTAGATTACTGTGAAATGGTTGTTTCTAACTTTATCTGCATTTTTTAATTTTACATATAGAAGTAAAACATAATCAGCTAACATATTTTGAAAACATAACAAACCTCTTATTCAAACTCTGAGAGAGAGAGAGAGAGAGAGAGAGAGAGAGAGAGAGAGAGAGAGAGAGAGAGAGAGAGAGAGAGAGAGAGA